CACATCGATATTGCGGCGCTCAGTGAAACTCGGCTCGCTGAACAAGGTAAGTTGCATGAAGCAGGTGCTGGCTACACATTCTACTGGGTGGGCAACGCCGCCTCAGCACCACGTGATCATGGGGTCGGATTTGCAATATCCGATCGCCTCCATGGCCAGCTGGTGGGTGAACCAACGGGCATCAGCGCGTGACTGATGACTGTTCGCCTACGACTCGGAAGAGGTAAGTTTGCTACTTTTATAAGCACGTACGGTCCGACCATGTGTTATCCTGATGACACGCGTGATCAATTCTACACTCAGCTATCCTCCGTGATACGGTCTGTGCCGAGGAGCGACCGACTATTTCTGCTGGGTGATTTCAACGCGCGTGTTGGGCGTGATGCATCGATGTGGACAGATGTTATCGGTTCGCATGGCATTGGTTCAGCGAATGCGAACGGTGACAGGCTGCTCTCACTGTGTGCCACTCACGGCCTGACGACCACGAACACTCGGTTTGCACTGAGTGCGAGTGATATAGCAACTTGGACGCACCCACGGGGTGGTCACGCTCACCTGCTCGACTATGTCATCGTACGTCAGTGTGATATGCGTGAAGTGCGCATGACACTTGTACTGCGTGGAGCTGAGTGTGGCACTGATCACAAATTGGTGCGGACCAAAATGTACATATATTTTCGTAAATCTATGTATTGCACTCCCGTCGTGAATCGGCGTAAATTTAACATTCTCTCCCTCGGTACTGTGGCGAAACGTACTGAGCTGGAGAAGGCGATGGCTGCACGCCTGTGTGATGTTGAATGCATATCCACTGTGGGCGACCTGTGGCACCACATTCGCGACCAGGTGACAGCTGCTGCCGAGGAGACCATCGGGCGCACAAATTGTAAGCGGCCTGATTGGTTTGATGAGAACAATGCGACGATTGGCGCATTGGTGTCGGAGAAGAATGCAGCATTTGCTGCACATGTCACAGACTCCAGTGACTTGGGGAAGAATAGTCAGTTTCGCAAACTTCGACGGCGACTGACCCGAGAGCTCCGTCGCATAAGAAATGTATGGTGGACGGAGAAGGCGAAGCAGATGGAATGCTACGTCGAACGTCGCCAACACAAGGAATTCTTTGACTCCTTGAAGGCGGTGTATGGACCGAGATTGGAGCCGCTGAGGGCGCTGATCAATGGTAGTTCAGGCGCTACCTGCACACAGACTGCAGACATAATGCAGATCTGGCGAAAACACTTTGACTGTCTCTTGAACAACCGTTCAGAGATCGACTGGCCTACATTGAACGGCCTCAAGCAGCACGATTTGAAGACGAATCTGGCGGACACGCCGACACTGATGGGACGCAGAGAGCACTTGCTCAGCTGCGAAACGGCAAATGTGCTGGAGCCGACGGTATTCCACCTGAAGTATTGAAACACGGCGGACACGCGTTGCTGACTGCGCTGCACCACTTGGTGCAACGTGTATGGATTGAGGAGGAGATGCCTCCTGAGCTGAAGGATGCCCTTGTGCTACCACTGTACAAGGGCAAAGGTAGCAAGCAATGTTGCACGAATTATCGTGGCATCAACTTGCTGAGTTGTGTGGGCAAGGTGATTGCCCGAATCCTGCTCAATCGCCTCGTGAGACAGATTGTGGAACCAAACGTGGCGGAAGAGCAATGTGGATTCCGTTCGGGTCGCAGCATTATAGATATGGTGTTTGCGGCTCGTCAGTTGCAAGAGAAGTGCAGAGAACGACATCAGCCTTTGTACTCGCTTTTTGTTGATTTCACCAAGGCATGTGATACGGTGAACCGCGAGGCACTGTGGCTGGTGTTTGGTAAGTTTGGTTTCCCGCGTAAGTTTGTAAGTTTTGTTGAATTTCTGCACAGTGGTATACGAGCGAGGGTGCAGCTGAGTGGAGAGACCTCGGATGACTTTGCAGTTGTCACTGGTGTGAAGCAAGGCTGTGTCTTAGTTCTTGCCCTGTTTAATATATATCTTCATGCAATGATGTCCTGTGCTTTTGATGCCGCTTGCGCTTACGGTGTTCGTGTGGAGCACCGCATGGATGGTGGGTTGCTGAACATCCGTCGTTCCGGTGCGAGAACTCTAGTCTGTGAGACAATTATCCGTATGTTGCTGTTTGCTGACGACTGCGTTGTTTGCACACAGCGCGGATGAGTTGCAGCACATGACTAGTGCTCTGGCTTCGACAGCGGCCAAATTCGGGCTCACCATCAACACAAGCAAAACTGTCTGTCTCTTTCAGCCTTCACCGGAGGTGCAATCTTCAATATTGCCGCGAATCAGCATTGGTGCTGAAGTATTGGAAACCACCTCCCACTTCTGCTACCTTGGGAGTGTGATGTCGACTGATCAGCAGATACACAGTGAGCTTCGTATCCGCGTGCCGAAGGCAGTGGCGGCATTCGGGAAGTTAGAGTACCGAGTGTGGAACACCCATCACCTTACCATTGGAACGAAGCTGATGGTGTACAAATCAATGGTGCTGTCCGTTCTTCTATACGGCAGTGAAACGTGGACGATGTACCGTCGGGATGTGCGATATCTCGAGCGGTTCCATCAGCAGTGCTTGCGACGGATTTTGCGCATCAATTGGGGCGACAGAGTTGAAGACACGGAAGTGATGCGACAAAGTGGAATGTATGCAGTGGACTGCATACTTTTTCTGAGACAACTGAGGTGGATCGGTCGTGTGAGCCGTATGGATTCAACGCGGATACCGAAGCAACTCTTATATGGTCAGCTGAGTATAGGGAAGCGCACGTGGGGAAACCGAAGTTACGTTACCAGGACATGATTAAAGTTCTAATCTTGATTGCAGATCATGGGAATCGGAGGCGGTTGATCAGCGTGCATGGCGCGATCTGATCACGAAGGCAGTTGCCGAGGTGCAGAAGAAAGCCCTCATGCATGCAGAGAAGAAGCGGCAAGTGCGGAAGCGGCAAGCACCGATGGGTTGTTCTCCATTGACATCAAGCGCATGGTGCTGTAGCACATGCGGTCGCGAATGCCTGAGTCAGGCAGGCTTAGTGAGTCATGAGCGAGGCCACTCGGGACCACTACCGAAGCGACGACGAGTCCTGCAGAGAACGTAGGCAGAACCGGCGCAGCGTTTGTAGGTACGCTGCATTTGATTTATTGACCGCGTGCTTGCATGCTAAGTCCCTTAATTTCAGGCGGTGGGTTTTCAATTTTGTCCTAACGCTTTTCCTTCTCAAATAAATGTCCACCTGTACGCTATTCTATAAACCGTCGGCCGGTGGCCGAGTGGTCTGCACGTTTGCTTTGCAACCATAAGGTCACCGGTTCGAATCCGCGTAGGGGCTGGCGTCCTCGCGGTATACTCAGTCCGCGCGCGACTGGTGGTGGTCGCGCGGCAGCGAAGCGCCGTTACGGCGTTCAGTTGACTTGTTGCTATTGTTATTTATTCTATAAACCTGCACAACTCGCTTAAGCCAATTGTAGTTAATTTCGATAACATTTTCGCGTTTGTCATTTCCGTAAAATATACTTTCTGACCCCCTGAACTTATCTCGGATCCTATGTTAACAACTTATTTCATATGCTCATTAATTTAAGATTTTTGTCACGTTTTCTTATGCATTACTCGATTTTTTTCTTTGTTGGCCTTCTCTCAAGGGATTGGCTGTTGCTTGATATCCCCGGTGTGGCTGCGCTTGCTGACAAGGTGCTTACCTGTCTATTACCCACTACCTTGTCCATCTGGCTCCAGGAGACAGTTGGTCGTTGCTGGAGGGGACAGGGTGCACGGTCCTTGTGGCCGTGCTAGGCTCGAAGAGTGGTTCCATGCACTCAGTGTGGAGCGGACTACGGTCCAGCCAGCGCTTGATTCCCCAAATACAGCGTGCTAGTGTTTGCCTATGAAGGAATGTGGGCCGGCTCCGTTGATGAAACGTGGCTCCCATCACATGCCTCCCGGTCTTGTTCCTTCGGGTTTACACTGGATATGGGGTGTGTGGATGGAGCTGTGGGTGCTGCAGCGCAAGCCACCCATGGTCCCTCTGTAGGCGCAGGAGTCCTGTGGCTGGCCACAGTGACAGTCAAATCCGAATCCGGATGCCGTCAGCTATATACATATATATATATATATATATATATATATATATATATATATATATATATATATATATATATATATATATATATATATATATATATATATATATATATATATATATATATATATATATATATATATATATATATATATACGTGGATCTTTGGATTCCCACAGCAACCTCTCCATCTAAACAGTATCTCTAGTTATGTTCTTCAATGTTTTCTGTAACCTATACTTTTTCACTGCCACTACTTTCAATCGTCATGGCGATACGAGTCCCGGTGACCAGATCCCCTGCACTCCGACCCTCAAAAACCCATAACCAAATTGCACGATTAGAGACTGTTAGAGCACGTCCTAGTTGTTTCGACTCCTAGTCGGAACGGACGAAACGCTCTACACTGACAAGAGCCCATGCGCAGATTAGCCAATCGCATTGGGATCGGCACGGCCTAAGAGACCTAGCCACCAGACGTTGTACAAATGAGCTGAGGCTGGGGAGGAAATACGCAACTTCGCACGACCGCACCGAGACCCAGAAAAGAAAGATTGGTCAATAAGATGGGTTCGCTTACTGACTCATCCAAAGGCATTCATGCCTTCTGCATCTTTATTGATCAAAGTAAAACAGCGTAATATATCAAATATACGAGAAGGTGGATGTCAAAAAAAACGCTTGAGTTGCTACGTAGTGTTACTGTCATGAGGAAAACAGTTGAGATCAGTGTGGTTCAACGCGGTAGTTTCCGAAGTGTTCTGAGGCAAGCTCAGCTGGTTCATCGTGGGTTGATGCGGTAGATAAAGCAACGTGCTGAGGAGAGCTCGGTTTTTATCTGCGCATTCTGAGTCGCCACAGAGTGACGGTACGGCTGAGGTGAGCTCGGGCGAAATCCATAAGTTTCACAAAGGTATGCGAGCTCCATCTTTGAAAACTGCAGCACGACAATGTCAAATGCTTCATTTATAAGCGCCGCTCACATTCTATCCTGTCACCTGAGCTCATATGGACACAAGGGAAGCCAAGACATACTCACTGAATGTGTAGGGAAATAACCATAATTCTCAGTAGCATAGAAGTGTACAAAAGTGAAGATAAGCGACACGATGTTCGCTCAATAAGTTCCATCGCCAGTTAGTGCCACAGAGTACTAGCGTACATGAATAAAAACGATCCATTAGATGTGGTCAATGACTGTTCCGGGGAATAATTGCGAACTTGCACTAAAACAACGTTAGCGGCCAAAAGATGAACTATCCCTAGCGGAGAATTTTGATGGTAAATTTACCTGAAATTAAAGCAATCAATTAAAACGTCAAGTACGACCCACATGATGGCAACTTTTCGCAATTGGCAATCACAGAGCATTTTAATCCCAAACTTGACAGAGCACCACGCAGCAGACCTGCTGGAAAAGCTAGGTACTAAAAGGCAAATTGGTTTTGGTGATACGAAGTTACTTTTAAGGCTTCCGTCAGATATTGAGACCCGGAAGAGAATCGTTCGAAAAGCACAAAGTTTTCTACGAATAAGACATACATGTCCTGGCAATATGTAAACAACAAAGCGTCAACTTACCTGATAATTCGTCTTTAATGTGTCAACTTGCTTGTGAAAAACGGAAGACCAAAATTCAGTGCACACGTATTTGACAGCATCCAGCTCAGATACGAATCGTGGAGTTAACCTGGTCTGTCTATGTTGGGTTGCTACAAAAATCACCAAAACAATCTCACTTCTCAATCAGTTTTTGACCCACTTGAAATCCGATTGAGTCGACGAGCTGGTCGCGTAAATCTGCTGAATTGACTACCTAGTGAAGAATAATTGGTGCTGCAAACATACGCCTTTTGTGGAACACGATGCATATTCCACAATCTCTACCATAAGCGCATCAAAAGCGTCATATGGAGTCGCAGAGGTGGTCATCTCATACGCACACCCTAATAGCAGACTAAATCATTGCTGATTACAGAGTGCATTGCTACAAGGAAATGAGAACACAGTTTTATATCAGACGAAGATGACGCGAATCAACGAGACCGATGCTAAAACTTTTAACTTGTACCAACACTTCCGTAGAGAGGAACAGGAATTAGTTGCGACGAGAACCAGTAAGAACGACTACGAACACCGGTTATTCAGAAGTATGAACATTGCCGGACCCAACGTGCATTATAAGGAGCTGCAATGAACTGGGAGCAGATTATCAGGAACACGGAGCAAAGTAGCGCACGACCCAAAGAGAAATCGGAAGTGAACGGGAGGTGCAATCATTAAAATAAGTAGACGATCGAAAGATACAAAGAACAATAAAACCCATCGTCACAAAATAATGAAAGCGTGAAAACTTCACGTTCACCACACTTCTTTACCACGCGAAAACCATTAGTAGTACGCCGGCTAGGGATGAAGTGGGGTCACCCGTACCTACGTAGATTCCAGCAATAACCTTTGGATTACGAGGCAAGTGCCTTCTCCCTTAGGCCACCGGTTAAACAACTATCGACTGTAGACGAGATAAACCAGAAATGGCGCAGCAGTACTATTTGCTGAAACTGCACTGCTATTCAACGGTGAATTATAAGACCCTATTAATGAGAGGGAAGACGGGAATAGTAATAATAATATAATAATGTGTCAGCTGTATGCCGTAATGGCGTATCGCTGTCGTGCGACCACCAACAGTTACACGCGGGCTAAGTATACTACGAGGACGCCCACCTCTACGCGGACTCGAACCCGCGCCGCAAGATTACAAGACAAGGTCGTTACTTCCAAACTATGGGCCGGTCGACGGGTAACCGAGATCTAATGCGTGATTGACCTACCCTAAACAAACATCAGGATCATAATGCCTACACCTTGCTAGCGCCTTAAACCCACGAAAGGCATCATGACGAACAAGTTAACACCATACTTACTGCTGAGAAAACCAACCGGATCAGTTCAATCGTTTTTCTGTGCACCTCTATGTCGCTAACAGCATGACTCGATAGGAGCAACAATGCACAAAGAGACGAACGAGCCTGTAAACTTCAAATCAGAGACCAAGCTGTTGATGAGAATGGTCATCGTTGCGGTTCCATATACGTGGCATCTACGACCAAGGGATATCAGTTTCTGTTAAATAACCAGGATTCGGGCACCGAAGTGCGGTGAATCTAATTGTCACGATTTGCGTCGCCAGAATAGCGTTAGGTAAAACTAGTGCATTTGATAGAGAAGTGCGTAGAAGTAATCGGGATAGAATATGAACATTTAAATGCAAGAAATCGAACAGAAGGGCGCTACAGATGTGGCCCATTTCGAGGCTGCTATGCACGAAGACCGAGCCCATCAAGCTGACTAAATCCTATTTTCTTATGCCTTTAAACCACATTATCGACTGCCCATCTCGCGGTCTCACGTAACCCCATACAATGAGTGACAATGAAGGAAAACGACAATCGTTCGGAGGGCATAATCTAAGTACCATGAGCGATTCAAGCTTAACAGGTATTCCAGCGAGGTACTAGAGGACTACTTTAAAAACACCAACTGATGGATTTCAACAACGTTTACCCGGAGTTCCAATCAGACGTGCGCAATGCTCTGCAAGCATCTATAGTCCAAGACGGCTAGACTATCAATATCTTCAGTGCCCATGTTTCTGATCCACGCAGTGACACCGGCCTTATCGAAATGTTGTATACCCTGCCTTTGACTGATGCGTATCAAAGAATGCTGGAATCTGAGCTGAGTAATCGCTCACTGAACACAACTGAAGGCCATAGGTTGCATTCTCACCAGAAAGTTTTAGCAGTGTATATGTCTTCATGCAGCATATCCAACTTTCAGCATGGGTGGTAATGGGTCTATTGAAGTTCTGGATGTTCGCCGACACATCCCGGTTGGAAGTGAATACAAGACTTACAAAGATCTCGGGGCGAAACCGCGTGTTAGCCTTAAGAGAGATCGCGAAGCCTCGTGATCAGAGATGGAAAATGTTGCTATTTTTAGTAACCACCGAGTTACTCCGTTTCATATGGAAACGGGTGCCAGCAGTTATGGCATTAGCGAGACAATATGCGACAAGAAGGGTGGCTTATCCAAAACTTGGAGCGTTGAGTTGAACACTTTGAAAACAACATAGCTAGCCAGTATTCCAAGCTTCCTTGCTGGCCCACTGATCGCCCTGCTCCCTCGCTGTGAGATCGGACTGTCGCAATTTAATGAGGCCGCAGGGCCAGATGGAGACTGCTATCGCAGATGATTCACACGAGTTATTAGTTTAAATGTGAGAACAGGAAACTGTCAAAACTGACTGAAGCAGCTCAACTATAGTTCCGACTTTTAAGAAATAAGCACCTTCGGAATGCGGAAGCCAGGGAGATCATTCTGATCTTACTTGTTCTTCTACAAAGTGGTTAGCGTTAGTGAAAGCCAGACTCGTGAAAAACAAGTTGGGTAACATCATAATCGAGACTGTATAGAGTGCAATTTCACCCAACGTTAGTCGTGAGAACACTACCGCGAATATTGGCGACCCACTCTAGTTGTGTTCCTCGACATCAAAGGAGCTTTAGATTCGACGGACTGATTCGGAAGGTTATGCTCTACGAAATCCCTTTCCAGCAAAGTGGGGGTTTATGACAAAATGTCACTGCCATGCGAAACCTTCAGTGGCGTGAGGTAAGGATGCCTACTTTCACTTTCTCCTTTCAACTTCCAAACTTGCGAAGTTATGGGAACTGCATAAATTATACATGGCTTGGAAGGTGTGGAGTTGGTTCCAGGTGATTGACTTCTCAACAAAGATTATGCCAAGGATATGACTCTAACATGGGACAGCTAGCAAACCTGCCAAGCAGAGCTGCACAAATTAGTACTGATGGTCAATAATTTCAGGTTGTGCTTCGCACCCTCAAAATGTAAACTTTACCTCAGGATTGGCAGGGTAAAACCCTGCACTGGCCCTTGGCTTGGATCAGCCAGAAATCCGTCAAGGGGTCAACTACCTGGGCAGCTGCTGTGGAACAGAAGATCACGAATCGTATTACAAAAGCTTGAGGGATTTTGCTTAAATTGTTCACTTCTGATGTCGCCGTGACATCCTATTATGCATTTACGAAACCCATTCTATCAGAGCGACAGGCGTGAAGAGGTTATTGATTCCGATTACGCGTACTCTCGCAATTTATCTGATACCTGGCGGGAACACTGCGTGAGCAGTGAGTGTGTTCGTCGCCTTGTTTTTGTTGCAGCGAGAACGAGCAAACCACACAGTACCGTTATTTCACGCATTTTGTTACAGATTGGCCAACAGGCAGCGCTTTTCCGAAGACTGGAGACCATGTCGATCGATATCTGCTGTTTGTCCGAAACCCGCTTGCAAGGTTCGAGCAATGTGCTTACTCTGCAACCCTGCTTACCCTGAGAAACTAGCGGCACTTTCTCATTGCGCTAGTCCGGAGATGACACCGCTTCAAAAGCCGGTGAGCGCGTTGCTCTGAGTCCTTGGGCTGAAGCTGCTCTGATCGATTAGACCCCAGTCAAGAGCGGGATGTGTGTCATCAGACTAGCTGACTCGTTCCAGGCTTCAAAGTCGCGCGAGGAAAAATGACACATTTGTGATTGCTGCATACGTGCCCATAAGCTGTAGCCCTGACTCGGTGAAAGATGAATGCTATAATTAACTTAACGATCTCCTTCGTCACAAAAAGGCACGGATAATGTGGTGCTTGTTGGGGATCTGAACGCCCGAGTCGGAAACTTGTCCAATAATTAGCTGCATCAGGGCGGCCAACAAGGTGTAGGCTCTCGTAATGATAACTGTGAGCGGTTACTACACCTGTGTGAAGATGTTCACCTGTTTTTCGCGAGTACCAACTTCCGACATAGCACCTGCAGAAAAGTGACTTGGCGCGCACCAGCCTTGGACCAGCCATGCACGCAAACCGATCACATTGCGATCAGTTACGGTTAGAGATGCTGCGTACAAGACTGTCGCTAGATTTGCATCACGCGTGTGGACTCCGATAAGGCGCTTGTGTGCCAATCTTCGTTCGCGTTTCGGCGGACGTCTGTAAGGTCGCTGTGAGTGCACAAACACCAGCCAACTGGCGAAGCCATATGTCCTGAACGCGTACCAATTTACGCTGGCATTATGGCTGGGTAAGCGCCCACCCAGCTGAAGGCCATTGGTCGCACATTCGCCGGACGTTACCAACGGCACTCCTAGACATACGTGCCGCTTTTGACTCCGTTGATCGACCTGCTTTATGGCGTTGCTTACTAAAGAACGGGGTGCCAGAGAAATATACCGCCATCCTACGAGCACTTTACCTTCATACATCCGGCAGAGTGAGGTTTTATGGCAAGCTTTCCTCGCAATTCGCTGTCAATAGCGGTGTGCGACAGGGCTGCCCTATGTCCCCATTCCTCTTCAACTTCGCAATCGAAGACGTTCTGTCGAATGCTCTAGAAGGTTTCCAACATTTTGGATTAGAGCTTCTACCGGGTGAGTGCGCGACTGACTTAGATTATGCTGATGATATCGCCTTACTTGGTGACGATCCTCAGAGTATGCAACTCATTCTGGAGCATTTGGCGGTTGAAGCATCGAAATATGGCATGAGCTTCGCCCCATCGAAGTGTAAAGTACTGCACAAGGATTTGCTTTCACCTGCTCACGTGCTCACTTTTGAAGGTGTAAAACTTGAACAAGCAGATAGTTTCGTCTACCATAGGAGCTGTGTTTCTGCTGACGGCACTATCAACAAACTTTCCCTTAGCATCGCTAAAGCTCGATCAACATTAGTCAATCCGAGGCACTTGTGGTGTCGTCGCGACGTCTCATTCTCGCTAAAGGGCCGCGTTTACAGCGCATCTGTTCGCTCATTGTTGTTGCATAGGAGCAAGTCCTGGCCGATTCGCGTAGAAGACATGCGTCATCTTTCTGCTTTCGATATCGGTTGCTTACGGAGGATTGCTCATGTTTGGT